TCTTTGGCTTTTGTCGCCCACCACTGTTCACGGTCCTTGCGGAGACTTTTCGTAAGTTTCCTCTTGTGCAGCTTTCGCTCCTCATTGAATTCGGAGCTCGCCGGAATAAGTCTTCTAGCATCTATCAGTTCGGATGAGGCGGTGGAGATCCAGTGGTTTTTACTCACCTTTGGGTTTACCTTATTCACAGCTTTTACAGCTGTATCTATGGCTGCCTGGATATTTTTCCAAGCTTCTTCAGGGTGAGCACAGCTGTCGAACACAGATATGTGTTTAGCTAGTTCTTCCTGAAATACGGATTTAGTTTCCTGATCGAGCTGGGGACGTGATGGTTTTACCGCCAGCTGTTTCCTACGTCCGTTCAGTCGTAAGCACACCCGAGCGCGGACCAGTGCATGGTCGGTATCTACGCACGTGTTCCAGAAGGAGCGACAATCTCCTACCGACCCACGCCAACGATAGCTTATTGCTATGTGGTCTATTTGTGTCCAGCGTTGGTTTGATGAAGGGGGTCTCCAAGTCAAACAGTGTCTCTCCTTGTGTTTAAAGTTAGTGCTTACAAGAAACAAATGATTATCAGAGCAGAACTGTAGGAGACGGTCACCGTTGTCGGTTCGCTGGCACGGAGCTCCATAGGTGCCACCGACATCCTTCTCAGATTGACACAATTTCCCTACTTGAGCGTTAAAGTCACCAGCTAGAACGACTATGTCTGAGCGTTTAGCCTTTCCACCAAACTAGACAGCTTTTGGTAGAACTCATCCTTCGTTTCATCTGAACTGCAGTCAGTGGGGGCGTAGGCGGAGATTACGAAAAGGCATCGGCGAGTAGTGCAGTCCTTCCTCCTTCTTACTGATCCGTTCAGGCGGACAGCACACATTCGGCTATCTACCGGGATCCAGTCAAGCAATGTCTTTTCTGCCCTAGTACTCAAAGCTATCCCTACGCCAGCTAATCCTCGTGAACTAGCTGTGGCATCTCCTGACACCCTCAAGGTGAATTTTGCAGATTCAACCTGTTGGCCAGGTGGGGTTAGGTGAATAACCACACTTGGGTCTTGTATGCGTGTTTCTGAAACACAGCATACATCAATGGCTCGTGATGCCAGGGTCTTGGCTAGTGATGCTTGTTGTCCTATTTGGCAAAGTGTCCTAACATTAAGAGCTCCTATATGAAATTGGTGGCGCGGCTTTAAGAGGCTGTCGGTGGTGGTTTTTTGGCTTCCATCGTTTTTAGTGGACGCAGAGTGGAGAGGAAGTGGAGAGCTATCAAGTCGAGGAGTTGCATCAGTGGTTTCAATTAGATCTCACCAGGCTTAACTCCAATACACCTACATAACTTTGCAAATAAAAATTCAAATATAAACCAATCATGGTGTTTTGTCTATAGGATAATAAGATGGTGAATATAAATTGTGCAATTAGTCACAATAGTAATAATAATGATAAGAATAATAACAATAACAATTTCGCTTTATTCCAGAAACAGTACTTGTGGTACAGTGTGGAATTTTCAGCACATATCTACAATATTGCATCTAATTTCATCGTACATTTAAAAGGAGTATTATAAAAAAAATATTTTAAAAAAAACAAAAAAAACAATAACAACAAAAACCAAAAAAGAAACACAGAAATAACAAAAAAATGCAATAAAAATACCAAGTAAAAAGGAAGATAAACACAAATAATGAAAAAATATTTCAGTATTGGTTAGTGGAAGCTACGATATGAGTATGCGTGGTGAACAGTAACAGCTATAATCATACGGGAAATTATGAGATGTTCTTAAAAAAATGTTTATAGCTAAGATGATCAGTTAATTTGATTGAACAACACTAAGCAATCATAAGATAAACATTTCAGGTTGTGTTTTTTTATTGTCAGCACTAATGCAGTGTTTGTAGTGGTAGTGTGAGGAATCATGCATAATACAAAATTTTTTAAGATGGTGATAGTGGCAATAACAAACAAGATTGTCAGTTAAATAGTGCCGAACAAAGAACAACCACAAAACTAATGTTACATGATGGTTAATGACGGGACAATTTTTAATAATCATAGTGATAATATAGTCGGACCCAGTAGATGTATAAAGAAGGAATAGAATAAAGAATAAAAATGTAAGCCAATGATAATAATTTTAAGCAGCTAAGTATGTTTAAGAAGGTTGTTCACTATAGAGTACAAATAAGAGAGTGTAAGGGGGAAATAACAAGGGCCAAAATTATGTTATTAACAACAAAGCAAGTCATAGGTTTCACGCTTAACATTGTCTCTGTCACTTAGAACACGGGCCAAATATGGTATCGTTGAGTTCCTATACTTGGTTGTACGAGCATATATTATTTTGTACTGATTTCTGGTTCTACCTGATGAGATGCAAGGAGAGAGTTGGGAATAGAGGGGGTGTTGGCAGTCAGAGAGTATGGTTTTAGACCATTTCTCACATGTATTCAGATGCTTATCCACTAATGTTGTGACGAGCTGACTGAGTTTTACACCGCTAGTCCTACTAACTACCTTCAACATCCTTCTCAGGATGGTATAATCCTTTTTCAGTAACCCAGGAAAGACTAACGGGGAACAGTAAAGTAGAATAGGTAGGATACGAGAGTTGACAAATTGTGAAAGCAGAGGTTGAGTGACTCCAGTTAGTCTGAGTTTCTTAATGTAGTAGGTTAGACGAAACACTTTCTTGGAAATCATTTGGATATGAGATGACCAGGTAAGGTCGGAAGATATAACTAATCCGAGGTATTTTGCATTAGACTTTGTTTCAATTATAGTCCCCTCAATTCTACAGACATCATGAGTGCTTACTAGTGTTTGTAGATCTCGTTTGTGCCTAAAGGAGAAGTCGACAGTCTGGCATTTTGAGGGATTCAGCGTTAGGCCATTTAGTTTAGACCACTGACTGATGTCCGACAGGAAGCTATTTAATTTGAAGCAGTCTGACTGAGACTTAACGGGAAGCGAAACAGTCAGGTCATCTGCATATTTGACGAAGTTGATTTCGTCTGAGAGAGGTAAGTCATGTAAGAAGAAGGAAAAGAGAGACGGCGAGAGAACAGCACCCTGAGGAACACCAGCTTCAGTAAGCAAAGGAGAGGAAGCTACACCATTATATATATAATGTTTCTATCAATAATAAGGATGAAAAAGTAAGGCGATCTGTGATAACAAGACTAACTACTAAAAGCAGCATGATTGAACAAACAAATGTGTTCAGGTAGACGACATAGTAGTCGATAAAGGTTAAGAAAAACGAATGAACCGATTACGCGATGCTAGGTTGTAAAGGAAGTAAAAAAAACATTTTTAAAATGAAGATGTGATAAGAATAAGGTATGATAAGAGAGGGATTGAAAATATAAGTAAGGAGTTGTGGTGATATCATCAGCTGGTCAGGTCTTAATGGGCCAACAAGGGAGAGATTGTGGCTGTACAGACTGCTTTTAAATGTCTTGTTTAGGCTGAATGGTTCGAAGGCCTGTCGCTTCAGCTATATACAGTCGACGAATACGAAGTCTATTGTGAAGATTTTGGTGGGATACGATGAATTTACTTGAAAGCTGTCGTTTTTCAGTAATGACACGTTGGTTAAGCTGTCTAGTAGTACGCCCAACATAACTGTCAGCGCAAATGCAGTTGAATTGATAAATACACATAGATGTGTGGCAAAACTATGTTTTTCTTAACCTTTATCGACTACTATGTAGTCTACCTGAACACACTGCCCGTTGTCTGTCGCATTATCCAATCTACTGCAGTCAAGGAAATCATTGGCAATAGTCGGCAGTCTTACCTTACTCCCGTTCTCTCTTCGAAGGATCCCATGAGTTTCCCGTTGTGGATTACTTGGCATGCAGCGTTGTCGTACAACTGTTGGATGAGATGTATGATTGTCGGTGGCACCCCGTAGTAGCGAAGTAGTTGCCAATATATATATATATATATATTATTCCTTTACGTTCCCAGTGGAACATAGTGCTTCAAGCTAGAGCTTTGGATGTTTCATTAGCAGCAGTGTTTATTTTTGCGGGATGGGGTTGCTAGCCAGCCTCATGCCCAACCTTCCCTCTTTACCGGCCTTAATTACCAGCTTAGTGAGGTTTAGGATTGCATCGGCGATTTGACTTGAGCCCCTAGCCGCATGAGTCGTGGTTGGTGGCCGTTCTACAGTTGTACTACTGACAATACTAACTCTGTATTATAGTATGTGATAATAATAATTTGCTTTATTCCCAAACAGAACTTGTGATACAGAATGGAATTCTCTGCATTTCACTACATACAGTATTGCATCCAGTTAGTACATTAACAATAAATAAAATTCTACATAGATTAAGGGTAATCTCAGTTCGTTTTGACAACAACATATTGGCATGTCGGTAGCAAAGCCAAAAATTGAACAGAATGTTTGAAGGAGTTAGAAAAATAGATACTAGCATATTTACTGGCGTAAGCGGTAACAAAACGGTCGAGATATATATAGAGTGTGAGAGAACGAAGAAGAATGCTATAAATAGAGTTTGTAAGGAAGAGAGGAACAAAACAGCACATAACAGAAAAAAGAGAGAGAGAAAAGGAAAAGAAAGAAAGAAAACGTTGTACCTATAAATGATATGAGTTGGAAAGACGAGATCCAGTTTGTTCTACTGACAATTTAATAAGTTATAGGTATCACGCCTAATGCTTTCTTTATCTCACAGAACACGAGCTAAGTAGGGTATGGTTGAGTTTTTGTACTTACTAGTGCGAGCATATAGTTTTCTATGTAGGCTTCTGGTCTGGCCTGGCCTGATGAGATACAAGGGGAGAGTTGTGAATGAACAGGGTGGTGTGAGTTAGATAGAATGGATTTAGCCCATTTCTCACGTGAGTCCATATGCCTGTCAACCAGAATATTAACAAGCTCGTTAAGTGGCACGTTGCTTATATAATCATATCTGCATGTTGTATATACATACATCTTTCATCTTTCTTCTTTTATTTTAGCTACTCTACAAAACGTATAAACGACGTTTAGATAATTTAAATGCAAGTTTATTAGCCCTACAAAAACAGACCAGCTTAGATCCTTCAGATGGTTTATCCCCATCTAAAACTAGCAAACCATATCCTAATTCTAATGATTGTGCAGAAGAAGCGAACACATCGATATCTCATCATCAAAGTCCAACAATCGGCAAACAACTTTCCCCCACTCCTCAACTTCCAATGACTAAAGTGGGGACCAAGTCCGGAACAAATTCAACAAATCAAAAACGTGAAGACAAGTCAACTCAATCACCAGCATTATCGTCATCATTATCACCAGCATCATTACCTCAATGTCATCATCAACTTCATCATCATTCAAATATTTGTCGTACAACAAGACGATCTATGTCTGTACCACGTTCACCACTGCCATTGAATCATTATAGAAATTCGACTACTACTACTAATACTGCTGCTGCTAATCGTTTTCTTCATGATAACATTTCAAGAACATCACAAGATCTAGCTGTATCTTTAGCATCAATTGATTTACAATTGCATCATGTACTAAATCATCTTGATTCAAGCAGCATCACAACAACTAATCATCAGTTACCTGTGAATAATAATAATAATAATAATTATTCATGCTCAGAATGTCAATGTTGTTGTGTTTCAGCAAGAAATGATACCATAGAACAATCGCCTTGTTTACATGAACATCAACATGAAGAGGAAAATATTCAGCATATTGAAGAGCGTTTAGAAAATATTGATTTAAATGATACACCATTATTAGGCGGTAGTGGTGGTTGTACATCGAGTAATTTAAGTGGTCTACCCTCGTGTAGTTGTTGGAAAAGTCAATATAAATCTCAGAGTAGTAATAGAACAATGGAGTTATTCAGTTCACCAACTAATCGCTTGTTGAATTCATATTCAGTTGGGGTAGATTATAGCGAATTGGAGAGTATTCGTGCTTCCCTAGGAAGGTAGGTTTGTTGCTTTTTTAAGATTTCTTTTTATTTGTGTTTCATCTTATGAACATATTTACATATATCACCTTTACTCTGGAGCCTAACTAGTCATTATTAAGTAATACAGATGCAATAGGAAGTGTAACTTTAACTCTACGCAACGACCGTGAACAGTCTGGTGGTGGCCTACAAAAGCGGAATAGGTGGAAAAGGCATCAGCGATAAGTAACACTAGAGAATCTCTGAATGGGATGTAAACGTTGTTCGTCCGTCGCCAACTGAGTTTACGCAAGCTGTCTTTAACGTGAAACTAGGCAGAGAAGAGGGACCTGATAGAATGACTTCAGAGGTGTTTAAGGACAGTGAAGATAATTTGCTGTCTGAGTTAACTAAGGTATTAGGCAGCGTCTGAAAATCAAATATACTCCTGTCAGGCTGGTGTAAGTCATTAGATCTCTACCGCCTCATCTGAACTTATTGACGCAAGAAGACTGATTCCCGCTAGTTCCGATTATGATGAAGAGCGAAAGCTACTCAAACGAAAACTAACAAGAAGTCTTCGCAACGACCGTAAACAGTGGTGGGTGACTAAAACGAAAGAGATGGAAAGGGCATCGGCGATTGGTAACACCAGACAACTATTTAGGCTTATCAGGGAAACAGGTGGTATAAGGTAAATGATAAGTGAAACAATCTCTGAGAAGAATGGCACCATAATTAGCTCCCAGGATAGACGATTGGATCGTTGGAAAGAGCATTATGAGGAGCAGTTTAATTGGTCCACAGCCACGCTCAACCTTCCGAACATCCAACACCTCCCTGAATGGGATATAGACACAGGTCCTCCATCCCTAACTGAGGTTCCTAAAGCTGTCACCAATCTGAAACTGGGCAAAGCAGCGGGACCTGATGGAATGACTCCAGAGGTATTTAAGTACGGTGGAGACAGTTTACTGTCTGCATTAACTGAGGTACTAGGCAGCGTCTGGGAATCAGAAGAAGTCCCATCGGGTTGGTGTAAGTCACTGATTATCCCCATATACAAGAAGGGAGACAAGTCTTCCTGTGATAATCACAGAGGGATTAGCTTGACTAATATAGTATCTAAAGTCTTAGGCTCAATAATCATGCGTAGACTGAGTGGTGCTAGGGAGGCACAAACACGAGAGAGCCAGGCAGGCTTTAGACCAGGAAGAGGGTGTATTGATCATATATTCACCCTTCGACAGATTCTGGAACAGGCATTCTTACCGCCTTCCAACAATTGCCCTATTTCTTGACCTGATAATGGAATTCGATTCAATCGATCAAGAGGTGAAATGAATGCCGAAAAAATACCATTGCCCACTAATCAAGGCACTCTACTCGAACTCATGTTACCAGATGAGATGTTGCTATTCAACAGTACACACCCATCACATTGGGATTCGAACCCAAGAATCTCCTGGTCACAAGGCAAACTCGTAGACCATTCAGCCACTGGGACCCCAAACCAGTGATCCCATGGATTCCAATTTCTGTCAATTCATGGTTTAAAGTTAGCGTGATGACCAGAAAGAATAAGTAACAGGAAACTCTGGCGATGGGAGAAATCAACCAAAAGCCGATGGCTCAACAAATATGTAGGAGAAAATAGAAATGTATTGGACATACATTGAGGGAAACCGTCGAATGACATCGCGCGCCAGGCTCTCGAGTGGAATCCAAAAGGGAAGCCACGAGTAGGTTGTTCTAAGGTGCCATGGAGGAGATCGTGCAAAGAGGAGCTGAGAGATTATGGTCAGTCGTGGCCTCAACCAACTGAAGACGACAGCAAAAAACAAAACAGAGTGGACATATGTTGTTGAAGCCAGCCGTATGTTCCACTCGAAACGCAAGGGAATAATAATAATACTAATTTAGCGTGATCTCCAATGAGTGTCATAGAGACGTAAATGTCCTCTTGTCTGAATAGTTGAATCCCACTGGCTGTTATGCTAAATATACATCACAAATCGTCAGAAGTTGGAATTCATAGACTGGCTTGCCTCGTTGCCTGAAGGCCATGGATTCGAACTCCGGTGGATACATGCTGCTGAAGAGTCCTAAACTAGGTTGACAAAACAGCTCTCCAGTATGTAGATTCTTGTTTTCCATGGTTTTCTTTAACTGGTGGTGTCAGTTCATGTTATGATCAAAATCCTGTAACCATCAATCAAATCAAATCCGTCCAATTTTTTTTATTTGATTATTTTTTGACAGTTAATATACACATATACCAATAAATATGTCTGTAGAGGCAGCCAGAAACGAACTCGTTTCTAACCAAGAACTCGAACTTAAAACGAAAGTGCCACTATTAGAGGACATAATGCTGGGAGTGCCGCTATGCCTGACTTCTACAGTATTTAAATTCCAAGGGAAAATATACAAAAAAACTGATGGAGTTGCCATGGGGTCACCAATATCACCGGCTGTGACAGATGTATTCATGGATAGGTGGGAAAACACAGCGATTGGAACCTTCAGCCCCATTCCCCGTCGAAGTATGGTGGATGTATGTAGATGACACATTCACTGTACTAAGAACACAAGAGATATAGGAAGATTTTTCAAACACAGTGACTTATTGAAAGTCAGGAAGCTGGGGAGCTTCCAATGTCAGATTGAAACGTAAAAAGGAAAGAAGTTGAGAAGTTAAACACTAGTGTTTACAGAAAACCCACACATTCAAACAGATATTTGGACTTCCGGTCATCCCATCCTATGTCAGTAAAAATAGGATTGGTGAAATGTTTCAGTGACAGAGCATAAAAACTAAGTAGTAACAAGGAATTTCTAAGACAGGAAGTAGGGCATATAAGAGAAGATTTGAAACTTAATAATTACCCGGATAAATTAGTCAGGAAATATATAGGGAAATATAAAAATAAAATAAATAATGGTAGTAGTGATAGTGATAAAAATAATGATAAGAATAATAGTAATATTATTGACGACATGCATGTCAAACATGCGCGAGACAACACCACCAATAAGGAATCAAAATCATCAGTAGTAATTCCATACAAGGAAGGAATCTTGGAAACCTTACGCAGAATTCTTAACAAGGCAGGAATAGAAGTGGCTGGCATTCAAACCCACAAACTCAATTAGAAACAAACTTTGTCGGTTAAAGGATTACTCCTGTAAAGTTTTTAAAACAAAACAATTTATTTTATCTAATATCCTGCTAGAATGATTGTGTGTCAGGTCAAATACATAGGTCAAACTAGTAGAACAGGGTCAGTCAGACTAGTCAAACATAAAAACTTAGCAGCGAAATCTAGATTGGTTGACCCGAATAAAATAAGAAATCTTGAGAGTAGTTCAGCGGTAGCACCGCACTACATGCAATTAGACACAACCATAGACAATGGGAAGTGCGTCGGTGGTATAGCGGTTAGGACGCTCGCCGACCATGAATATGGTTCGGGGTTCGACTCCCGGCCGGCGCACTCCTTTACCTCACTGAGCCAGAAATAATGCCGGTAAAGAGGAAAGGTTGGGCATGAGGCTAGCAACCCCATTCTGTAAAAATTAAACACTGCTACAGAAACTTCAAGCCACTAGCTTGGAGCCCTATGTTCCACTGGGAACGTGAAGGAAAAATTATTATTATTATTTATAGACAATGGGATGGGATAAGATGACAGTTTTAAAATCTTGGAACTTCAAATCCCTGTAAACCAACATTTGACTCTAATATTTGCTATTTTTTTCTTCTTACTATTTTCAGCCTGTTAAAGTCTGCTCGCAAACCGAATAATACATCGCATACTCAAACTCCGTGCAGAAGTAATAAAAATAATGACAGAAATGATCATAATTCCAATTCGCCTTATAAGTACAAATAATCATTCCTTTAATGAAATAATGGACTTTTTATACGCTTTATTATACTTAGAATGAATTTCGCTTTTATCCCTGAATGTTATTTGTCCTATTCTAACTGAATCATTGTAATTGCAATTATTATTTTTGTACCTAATATTTTAAATACTCTTATGTGCATTTCAATGGATTTTATTACTTGAAATAAATTGTGCTTATACATTTATATTCGTTTTGTATGTTATATTATATTGGTCAAGTTAAACTTTAAGCACCACTAAATAACTACCAATCCGCGAATGACCTTGAGTGGTCCAATGAATTTCATCCGTGTGAGTTAAAGATTCTATTCTGCTTGATTGGAGTTAAATACCTGCTCTTTAAGGCAGTTACGCTTGCATTTTGGGTGTGGATAAGGTTTTCCGTTATTGCTTAGGAAGGATAGGATTTGTTCATGTTCTTTTCATGTCTGACCATTGAGAGTGGAAGAAGACATGAAAAGGCTGGTTAGCTGTCTTTGATCATAGGGGTGCCTGTGTACTATCTACATCCCGTGTGTGTTAAGTGGTATAATGCGGTGAACAATATTGATCTGAGGCATCGTTCGAGTGTCAGCTAGGTAGGTGGGAGGGGAAGTGTTACATCAACTGAGTGGTTAGGGTATGTGTTACGCATGCACGCCTAGTCATCGCCTTCCTCGACAATGAGCAATGTTAGCTGATATTAGGTCAGATTGGAAGAAAGCCAAAACCAAAACATGGCTTCATCAGTCAATGAAATCCACAACAGTTAGTTTAAGCCAGCCACGTAGGAAGGTGTAGACTTCCTGACTGGTTGGGGTCCTCAGGACGGTAAAAACCAATGGTTGGAAACAATTGGTGACATGGCTAGCTCAAAATCGTTCTCAATGGCTAACGCCTATGCATCCACTCCTTGTGAATTATGATTTCCAATGAAACTACATTGTTCTTCGTTACTTCTATTTCTTTGTCTCACACCTCTGTTTACTGTCTCTATTATGCATTTCTTATACTTTCTTTTGCTTTGTGTGCTACATGGAGGGAGTGTGGCGACTTGAACTGCCGCATATCGGTGCAAAGTTCTATGTCGAAAACAGACAGACAGTCATGTTGAGATGTCATCAGTATAAAAAGCTTCAGCAGGTCGATTGAGGTAAATGTCCATCGTTGTGCAATTTGTTGGAGACGAGTTAGTGTCAGCAAAGGTAAGCTAATGATTCTAATATTTCGTAGGAACATTTTTTCTGCAACATCCCATCTGTCCTTAACCCAGATTTTGTATATTTGTAATTACTGGGTTTTAAAACAGCCTGTGAGAAGTGACGCTGCTGAAATTGAAAATAGCCTCGTATCAAGATTTCAGTGGTACCAGCACTGTAGAGACAGGGACCTATAATACACACTGATAAGTGGAAAGGTTATAACTCTCATGTCATCCCCTTGGATATATTCACAACACAGTTAACCATTTTAATGATTTTGTGGATCCCATTACAGGGGGGGGATACACCAATTCTATCGGAGGATTTTGGAGAAGGTTTAATTAAACAGGATTAAGGCTATAAGTGGATCTCAAAAGGATGTCATTTATAGTCATTTGGATAAATATATGTACAGAATGTGGTGTAACTTCTCCATTGATACTACTGCTATGCTAAACTGGGAGATGTTTTTATCATATGTCAGAGAAAGAGATACCCTATGTAACAGTTTTAATGCATTTTTCTCACAAATATACGTTTTCCATAATCAAAGACGCCTCTTTCTTTTGATTGGTTCGTTGAAGTTCATTCGCTGATTGGTAGTTAATGGTGCTTAAAGTTTAACTTTGCTTGTATATTTGTTCTGGTTAACACTAATTCAGTAGTCGAGAATCATCTTTGAACAGCTTGTATTTTGGGCAACCAGGTCGACTTATTGCATTATATTATACTATTAGTATTCCCTTGGGTTCCGAGTGAAGCACTATTCTATTTCATGCCGTCCTCTTCAGCTGGCTGAGGCCACTATTGCCCATAATCTCTCACCACCTCGTCCTCCTGGCTACACAATCTCCTCCATGTCACCCTCGCACTGACGCCACATTCGTGTCTGCCCATTTCGATTCCACCCGAGTGATGTCAATCGACGGTCTTCTCAGTGGCGTGTGCCTGATTTATCTCCATTTTTTCTTACATATTTATTGAGCAATCGGCTCTTGCTCAGTTGGTTTGTTCATCGCTAGAGTTTCTTGCTACTAATTCTTTCTGGCCATTTGATCTTCGGTATGGAGTCAGCGAAGACGCTGACGAAATGCAGAGTCTTCTAAACACCTTGAGCCGCAATCTACGAATGTTTGGCATGCGATTTGCTCCCGCCAAATGTCAGATGATGTTACAGGACTAGACTACATCGATGCCTAGTTTAAAAATAGGAAGTGAAGTGGTAGAGCACATTGACCGCTTCACTTATTTGGGAAGTACCATCAGCCCCAATGGGCTGATCTCTGACGAAATCTCAGCACGAATACAAGGGGCTCGTTTCGCATTTGTTAGTTTACGCCGACTCTGGCGTAGACGAGATGTTCGACTATCGACCAAAGGGCGGGTGTACTGCTCATCAGTCCGCTCCGTCCTCCTGTATGGTTGTGAGACCTGGCCACTGAGAGTGGAAAACATGAAAAGACTAGCTGTCTTTGATCATAGGTGCCTGCGTTCTATTTCCCGTGTAAAGTGGCATAATAAGGTGAGCAACATTGAGGTTAGGCGTTGAGTTCTAGGTAAACAGGGGAAATCAATCGACGAGGTTATGAAGTTACAAAGACTGAGATGGTTTGGACATGTGTTACGTATGCTAAGCCGTCGCCTCCCTCGACGAGCTATGTTAGCGGATATAGGGTCAGGCTGGAAAAAAGCTAGCGGCGGTCAAACAAAAACTTGGCTTCACCAGTCAATGAAATCCACAACAGTTGGTCTTAGCCACGTAGAAAGGTGTAGACTTCCAGGCTGGGGTCCTCGGGACGGTAAAAATCTATGGTTGGAAACAATTGGTGACATGGCTCAAAATCCTTCTCATTGACAGCGCAGATGCATCCACTACTTGTGACTTATGATCTCCAATATAACTGTTTTGTTCTTCGTTATTACTCCTTTTTTGTCTCACACCTCTGCTCACTGTCTTTATTATGCATTTCTTCTACTTTCTTCTCTTGCTTTGTGTTCTACATGGAGGGAGTGTGGCGACTTGAACTTCCGCACATTTGTGCAAAGTTCTATGTCGAAAACAGACAGACATGGAGTCAGAGAAATGGGCAGTCGTCGATGAAAGCCTGTAACGTCTTGGAAATACTTTTTGTGACTAACACTCAGTGCAAGTTTCTGACCTGTATAGAAGAAGTGACTTCATGTTTGTGTTGAACAGAATCTGAATCTTGTTTTTTATGCTGGCTGAGTGAGTGAAGAAGATTTCCAAACTGGTTTCGCGTCGATGACGCGGTGTCTTGCCTTTCCGATTCCGACTGCCTGTGGTTTAAGCTAAGGGAATGAAGTAACCTCTTGCAAATCTCTCCCGTTGATGGTGATTGGTGCTGGTTGTTTTCATCACCTCTGTCTTCTCTATGTTCACCTAGAGTCCTGTCTTCTCTGGCTGCTTCTTCAGCCAGTTTCTTGCTTTTCGCTTGTATTGTATTGGTAAACCGTAATGATACTAAAGCCAAGCCGACTGACTTCGTAGAATGGCGTGTAAGTATTATTCGCGCAAAACATTCACTACATACATGATATTTCAGCTCACTAACTTTATGCATTTCATTGGGTTTTAAACACTCAACTTTTAGCCAATAGAGTGTCAAGTTCGAGTCTTGCTCCACCTACTTTATCTTGGGATGGGAAACTGGAAGCTAGTCCCCACCCCACCCCCAAAAAAGTAGCCTCTGCTACACGAGAAATTCGATCCGAATAAGTGAGTTGAAATAAAACAAACTACCTCACAATCCGGGTGTAACAAGCAGCAACGAAAAGGATGCTCTCAAAAAAACATCATTCATTGTAAAAACTAAGAAAACTAACTTTTTCTGGTAGCGCTCCTCCAGATGGAATTAGGACATTTGCTTAATTGAGATTAATTTTGAGTCATTTGTATGCGATTGTGATAACCAAGCAGTCATATCCAAATCTCATTCTGTGTACTTCTGTCTGGACAATTGGAGGGTTTCGTAGTTTGTCATATATGCTTAGTGTTGCTCAAAAGCTGTTAATCAGTGCTATCGAGTTTGAAAGAGTTCCGTTTATTATTTAAGGATATAAATGACATCATAAACCGATATCATTGAGAATGATATATATTGAAAGTCGGGGAGAATTTGACAGGGGTTCATTCTGTGGTTATTTGAGAATTCATGGATAATCCCCATCCAGGCATTAATGAAAACAAAACATGTAGATCAGCGAAGAGTCTCTTTTCGGCGGCGGCGAATCCATTTTCTTAGCTGTACAATCACAAATATATATGTGTTGTTTTGTATGTATGTGTACGTTAAGTTTGTCAAACAAAATTACAATTGGTTATGGTGATTTTAACTAAACAGGTGAAGTTTGGTAATACAAGTCAAGAAAATTAGGTGTTAATGAAATTAGGGTAGTGACAAAGGTGATAAGTTGTCACAAACAGTTGTTAAAAAAAAGTTATGTAATAATACCGATTTTTTGTTGAGTGAGTTTTACCCAGGATGCACATAGAAACAAAGTAGATAATATAAAATTATGTAAGAGTTCTAAATGAATACAAGAATTATAAGCAATTAAAGAACAGGCAAAGAAACAAAATTAAGTCATCAAAATAAAACAAAACTCAAATAAAATAAAAAAAATTGTTACCATGAGAGTAGAAGTGGTTGAGTAATCTTCTTATGTATGTACATCTCCGGCTTTTCTATGTGAATGGCCAGAGCTTCAGCGATACAAAAGAGACGAAACCGTATTGCCTTTGGTAGGTTATTCTTGACTCTGTAGATTACTTTGAAGCAGGAGGCATTTTTTGTGATGGAATGATCAGTGTTAATCAGGTGTTCAATTATCGCACTCTTTATTGCACCACTATTGCCTTTTCGCAGCCATGCTGGATAGTGTTCTTAAATCCTCTTGGACGACCAAAGTACCTGGCTTCACAGCAGCAGGTGTACTGATATGTGCCCACGGAAGTGGTCAGATGCGGGATCTTGTCCTT